GAGGGAGGGGAGAGAGGAGGAGGAAGAGGTGGCGAGAGATTAATTTTAGGATATCTGGTCAGCATGGATGAATTGGACCGAAGGGTCTGTTTCATTGCTGTACATCTCTGTGACTCCACGTATAAAAATTATGAAGGGTACGGACAGGGTAAACAGAGCAGCTGTTCCCCTTGGTTGAGAGGTCAATCACGAAAGGGCATAGTTTTTAGGGTAAAGGGGCAGGAGATTCAGGGGGGATTTGGGGGGAAAAAAGTTTTTACTCAGTGGGTGGTGGGAATCTGGAATGCACGCCCTGGGAAGGTAGTGGAGACTGCAAACCTTCCAGCCTTTAAAAAATATTTGGATGGGTACTTCAAATATCATAACATTCAAGGATATAGGACAGGTGCAGGAAATTGGGATTAGCGCAGCTTTAGTGGTAGTTATGTTGGTGCAGACTCGATGGGCTGAAGGGCCTTTTCTGCACTGGATGAATCTATGAATTTATGTCCAACTGACTGGCCATTGAAATTGAGGATATCATCGCTAGGAATAGTTAAAGAGAATGTCACCTCATTGCAACCGTGTTGGTTGCACACCTGATCCATAGAATTTGGTGCCTTTTCGCCTGGATCTTAGACCCACGTTATTTCTGCAGCGCTGCCGGTTTTGTCTGTTCTATTTGTGAATGAACGTGCGTACATTTGGATTGAAAGGGGATATGATTCAAGTTTACATTAGTTGTAGTTAATTAGTTATTTTTGCGGCTTATTTAGACAGTCATAGAGTCACACAGCATGGAAACAGACCCTTCGATCCAACCAATCCATGCCAAACATAATCCCAAACTAAACTAGTCCCTTTACCTGTTCCCGGCCCATATCCCTCCAAACCTTTCCTATTCATGCACGTATCGAAATGCCTTTTAAACATTGTAATTGTACCCACATCCACCACTTCCTCAGGAAGTTCATTCCACACACGAACAACCCTCTGTGTAAAAATTTTGCCCCTCATGTCTTTTTTAAAATCTCCCTCCTCTCACCTTAAAAATGTGCCCCCTCGTCTTGAAATCTCCCATCCTAAGGAAAGGACACCTACCATTAACTCTGTCTATATCCCTCATTTTTTATAAACTACTATAAGGTCACCTCGCAACCTCCTACGCTCCAATGAAAAAAGTCCCAGTCTATCCAGCCTTTCTTTATAACTCAAACCTTCCATACTCGGCAACATCCTGGTAAATTTCTTCTGAACCCTCTCCAGTTTAAAAATATCCTTCCTATAACTGGGCGACCAGCACTGGACACAGTATTCCATAAGAGGCCTCATCAATGTCCTGTACAACCTCAACCTGACTTCCCAATGACAAATATGTTTTATGTTGTTAATCAGTGAAGCCTGGTGTTAAGTTACTTTTTGTCTTAGCTAGTGGTCAGAGTCTGGCATATTAACTATCTTCGCAAATCAATTGTGATAACTTGTGGGATAGAAGGGATTGATTTCCAAAGCATTTTGTACAGGAGACTTGTGCCAAGCACCACCACCGTCTCCAACAAAATCCCAAAGGGGCAGCACGGTGGCTCAGTGGTTAGCACTGCTGCCTCACAGCGCCAGGGACCTGGGATCGATTCCACCCTTGGGCAACTGTCTGTGTGGGGTTTGCACATTCTCCCCGTGACTGCGTGGGTTTCCCTCCGGGTGCTCCGGTTTCATCCCACAGTCCAAAGACGTGCAGGTTAGGGTGGATTGGCCATGGGAAATGCAGGGTTACAGGAGGGGCAGTGTGGGTGGGACGCTCTTCAGAAGGTTGGTGTGGATTCAAACAGCCAGCTCCCCACACTGTAGGGCATCTATCATTGGGCAGTTTCGTTCAGGCTCACTGAGCCACACCCTCCCTGACAACACTGGGGGTGCTTCTACACAATGGGATGGCTCAGGAAGGCAGTTCACTACCACCTTCTCCAGAGGCAATTAGGGATGGGGGCAAGAAATGCTGGCCCAGCCAGCAACACCCATGTCCTAGGAATGAGTAATTTATTACTTTTTTTTTTAAAAAGAAAAGGAAGACCAGTTACAGGAAACGACAACTCATCCAGCTGGACTCTGGCACCAATCAGTACGGAAGACCTTTGACTTTAGCTAATGAGCGTAGGATGTAGTTTCAGTTCCTGAGTGTTTGCAATCTGAGAAACTGGGACTTATAGCATCATTGAAGTATTGGCATTAATGTTACAGTCACGGGTTACCTCATACAAATAGCAGCACACCTTAACTCGGAACAAGATTAATTAATTAACATCACAGGATGTCCCGATGTGTTCCACGAACAATTAATGATTTGCGATACTCGGAGCACAGATCCATACTTGGCGATCAAACCCGCACAGCAACATTCCAGAAGCAAGCAGAGGCTGGCCAACTCCAATTTTGAAGGGTAAACGCTGGCTGCGGACAAAACGAGGGTCTTTCTCTGCTCTTGTTTGGGACAGGGCCCTAAGCCTTCCACAGATTCAGCTGAGAACAAGGATAGGCCTCAATTTAACATTTAAATTTACAGGGTGGAAGCAGGGGGCCTGAGGGAGAAGGTAAACAGTTTAGGTCCCCATGCCAGTTTTCAGCACATTATCATCGAGGGTCCCAGTGGAGTAATGAGGGAGCTGAGGGCAGTTAAGGGAGGGTCGGCGCCGAGGGAGCGCCGCACTGTCCGAGGGTCGGCGCCGAGGGAGCGCCGCACTGTCGCAGGGTCGGCGCCGAGGGAGCGCCGCACTGTCGCAGGGTCGGCGCCGAGGGAGCGCCGCACTGTCAGAGGTGCTGTACTTTAGCTGTGATATTAAAGCCAGGCCATGTTTGCTCTCTCCGTAAATGAACCTATGACCACTATTTCAAAGAGGAGTGGGAGAGTTCTGTCTTGGGCCAGCATTTAACTATCATTGCAACCGGTTATTGCACTGCTGTCTATGGGAGCTTGCTGTGCACTGTCAGCTGGTATGCTTCCGACATTACAGCAGGGACCAAACTTAAAAAAGAAATTTCGTCGGTTGTAAAACCCTGAAGTTGTGAAAGGTGCTATACAAATGGAATGTATATATTCAAATCATTCAGCTCTGATTAGTGAGGAGAAAATAAAACAACATACATTTATAAATGGAGGTGATGGCCTAGTGGTATTATCACTGGAATATTAATCCAGAGACCCAGGTCATGTCCTGGGGACCTGCGTTCGAATCCCACCATGCGCAGATGGTAGAATTTGAACTTCATGAAGGAAAATATCTGAAACTAAGAATCCATTGTCGATTGTCAGGAAAAACCCATTCATGTCCCCATGAATGAATACAAAGCACCTTTAATGTACAGAGAGATCCCAAAGAGTTTCACGGGAGTGTTACCAAACAGAATTCAATACTAGGCCATAGATGAGAAAAGAAACTAGACACAGCAGGATGCTGATTCCCACTAACCTGGGAAAGCGTTGATGTCGATCAGTGCGAGTTTGCCAGTTTTATTATCGACGATCACATCCACCCCAAACAGCGACATTCCCAGAGCAGCCTGTATGCCACGGCTAATGAATTGGATGATTTTGTCAGAGGGTCCACTGGGAAGGCTATCCCCTTCCTCTCTCTGTGCCAACGGAACAGAACAAAGCAGAGACTGAGCAGCTGCTCCAACACATCTCCCCACGCACTTCCCTCTCATCCAAGTCTCGCCTCCAATCCCTCACTTCCCACTCACCCTCCTTATCCCGGTTCCACACTTACACTCTCTCACTCCCATCTCCCTCTCTGGGTTACACTCCCTCTCGTTTCTGTATCTTTATCTCTGCTCCTTAACCCATCTCTGAAGGGATAGCAGTGGTAAATATCACTGGGTTAGTCATCCAGAGAATCAGGATAATATTTTGGAAACGTGGGTTTGAATCCCGCCACAGCAGGTGGTGAAATTTAAACTCAGTGAAAATCTGAAATTGAAAGTGACCATGTTGATAGCTTTAAAAATCCCATCTGGTTCACTAATGTCCTTTAGGGAGGGAAATCTGCCATCCTTACCCGATCTGGCCTACATGTGACTCCAGACCCTCAGCAATCAGCATGACTCTAGGAATGGGAAATAAAAGTAGCCCATGATCAAATTTTAACAAAACTGTGTCCAGACTTATAATTTTTGAACATCTTTCAAAATCTCCTCTTGGCCTCGCTTCCTCAAGCAGACCAGTCCCAATTTCTCCAATCTATCCACACTACTAAAGTCCCTAACCTCTAGAACCAGGTCATAGAGTCATGCAGCATGGAAACAGACCCTTCAATCCAACTCGTCCATGCTGACCAGATATCCCAAATTAATCTAGTCCCATTTGCCAGCATTAGGCCCCATCCCTCTAAACACTTCCAATTCATATACCCACCCAGTTGCCTTTTAAATGTTGTAATTGTACCAGCCTCCACCACGTCCTCTGGCAGCTCGTTCCATACACGCACCACCCTCTGTGTGGAAAAGTTGCCCCTGAGGTCCCTTTTAAATCTTTCCCCTCTCACCCTAAACCTATGGCCTCCAGTTTTGGACTCCGCCAACCTGGGGAAAAGACCTTGGGTATTCACCCTATCCATGCCCCTCATGATTTTAGAAACTTCTATAAGGTTACCCCTCAGCCTCCAACGCTCCAGGGAAAATAGCCCCAGGCTATTCAGACCCTCCCTATAGCTCTAACCCTCTTGTGAACCTTCACATCACTCTATCTAATTCCTTCATAGCCTTCCTAAGTGTGTGCTGCTCAGAACTGGACTCTAACCTCCAGTGGTCACCATAGCTAACCCAATATCTAAATGCAGAGCAGTTCAAACAAATCTCAAAGAACAAAACAGCACAGGAACAGGCCCTTCGGCCCTCCAACCCAGTGACGACACATTTTGCCCTTCCATACTAAAACTGCATTCACTTACAGGATTGGTATCCCTCTATTCCCTTCCTATTCACGTATTCGTCCTGGTGCTTCCTGAATGCTGCTATTGTGTCTGCTTCCTATTCTGGCAGCGCGTTCCAGGCACTCACCACCCTTTGTGTGAAAAATGTGCCTCACATATCTCTTTTAAACTTCCCCCCACCTTCACACCTTGAACCTGTGTCCCCTAGTAACTGACCCCTCCACCCTGGGAAAAAGCCTCATACTTTTCACTCTATCCATGCCATTTATAATCTTACAAACTTCTGTCTCAGGTCTCCCCTCAACTTCCTGCATTCCAGTGAAAACAAACCCAGTCTATCCAACCTTTCTTCATAGCTATAATCCCCCATACCAGGCATCATCCTGGTAAACCTTTTCTGTACCCTCTCCAAAGCACCCACATCCTTCTGGTAGTGTGGTGACCAGATCTCACGTACACAATCTCAAGTCTCTTCTCATTCCTTTGTCAATTATCTTAGAAAGCAGTAAATTTCTTTCATGGGATGTTGGTGCCCCTGACAAGGCCAAAGTTTATTGTCGGTCCCCAACTGCCCCTTAAACTGTGCGTTTTTGTCGACCATTTCAGAAGATAGGCAGGGACAATCACACTGCCGTGGGTCTGGAGTAACGTATAGACCAGTCTGTGTAAGGATGGCAGATTTCCTTCCTTAAAAGGACATCAGTGAACCAGATGGGTTTTTCCAACACTTGACTCATGGTCATTATTAGACACTTAATTCCACATTTTTAGCGAGTTCAAATTCCACGATGGGCGGATTCAGAGCCAAGGCCTGAGAACATTTCCTGGGTCTCTGGATTAACAGTCCAGTGATAACACCACTAGGCCGTTGCCTCCCCTAAGTTAATCAATTTTATTGATTGATTTTAAACTCCATTGGTGGAATTTGAACCACCTTCCCAGAACATTATCCTGGGTTCTCGGGATTACTAACCCTGCAATGATACCTTCTGCACCACCATCCCTCCCAAACTGATGCTGTTAGGGATGGATACAGTTGAGAACAGCCATGGGTCTGGAGTCACGTAGAGGCCAGACTGGCTAAAGGACAGCAGATTTATTTCCCTAAAAGGAAAGGATGTGGTTTTTATGGCAGTTCAAAGGTGGTCATTGCTGAGACTGGTTCCCAATTTATTCGTCGAATTTAAATTCCACAAGCATGCTGTGGGGTTCGAACTCCTGTCCCCAGGGTAAAACTCCGCTGGGGTTCTAGCCCAGAGTCCAGTACGCTACCAGCATCCCCACCAATGAAGGTCTCCGGTGTCAGCCACCCCCTGAAAAAGCCACTTAAGGCCAATGCTTAGATGGAAAGGCTGAGGGAAACTGGGTGCAGGAAACCACATTCCTGTCCAAGCTTCCTGATTGAACAATCCCACCGAGTGACAGAAGTAAGGAACATCCTGGAGTAACATATAGACCAGTCTGTGTAAGGATGGCAGATTTCCTTCCTTAAAAGGACATCAGTGAACCAGATGGGCAACAGCCTCAGCCTGAATTTATATAGCGCCTGCAAGCATAGAGAACAAAAGGGGAGGCCATGGCCTAGAGGTATTATCACTGGACCGTTAATCCAGAGACCCAGGTAGAGTTCTGGGGACCCCAGTTTAAATCCTGCCATGGCAGATGGTGGAATTTGAACTCAATTAACTTTTAAAAATCTGGAATTAAGAGTCTAACGATGATCATGAATCCATTGTTGGTGGTTGGTCAGAAAAATCCATCTGGTTTGCTAATGTTCCTTTAGGGAAGGAAACTGCCATCCTTACCTGGCCTGGGCCTACATGTGACTCCAGACCCACAGCAATGTGGGTGACTCTTAACTGCCCTCCTGGCAATTAGGGACAGGCAATAAATGCTGGTCCTAACAAGCAATACCCTCATCTCATCAATGAATTTTAAAAAAAAACAATAAAATTTAACAGGAACCTGACACCAGGACGGCATGGCGGCTCAGTGGTTAGCACTGCTGCCTCACAGCACCAGGGACCCAGGTTCGATTCCACCCTCGGGCGACTGTCTGTGTGGAGTTTGCACATTCTTCCTGTGTCTGCGTGGGTTTCCTCAGGGTGCTCTGGTTTCCTCCCACAGTCCAAAGATGTACAGGTTAGGGTGGATTGGCTGTGCTAAATTACCCCATAGGGTGCAGGGACATGCAGGCTGGGTGGGTTAGCCATGGGGATTACAGGGTTACAGGGCTGGGAATGATGGATGGGGGTGGGGGTGGCAAGTTTGCTCTTTGGAGGGTCGGTGTGGACCCGTTAGGCCGAATGGCCTTCTTCCACACTGTAAGGATTCTAGGAACTCAGCTGAATCTTTCAGGTTGGCCAGAATAGGAGCCTCTTGGGGTGGGAAATAGGACAAGGTTTGGTCATGGTGATTTAGGGGAGGGCATTTCAGAGCTTGGGGATCAGGGGATACTAAATCAGCCAGACTTGGAGAGACGCAGTGAAACTGCAGGCTAGAGGAGCTGATTAGAGAGAGATGAATTGGGGGTATGGTGAAGTCATGGAGGCATTTGGAAACAAAGTCTGCAAGAGGGCTTACCTCTGTTAAATGTGAGCAGGATTCTGGCTTCGAGACTTCATGACTGTTGAAGAATATAGTCTTCTGCTCTGAAAACACAAGGACAGAACCCAATCAAACTCCAGCACACACTCTCTCCTCCTTCACAAATGTCGCTTCTAACAATAGTTTGCATTTATTTAGCCCTGTAATGTCCCAAGGTGCTTCAGAGAAGCAGCTGAGCCACTGAAGTGGATGTTGGGACAGGTCATAGAGCTGTACAGCATGGAAACAGACCCTTCGGTCCAACTCATCCCTGCCGACCAGATATCCTAAATTAATCTAGTCCCACTTGCCAACATTTGGCCCATATCCCTCTAAACCCTTCCTATCCATGTACCCATCCAGATGCCTTTTAAATGTTGTAATTGTACCAGCCTTCACCACTTCCTCTGGCAGCTCATTCCACACAGGCACCACCCTCTGCATGAAAAAGTTGCCCCTTAAGTCCCTTTTAAATCTTTCCCCTCTCACCTTAAACCTATGGCCTCTAGTTTTGGACTCTCCTACCCTGGGGAAAAGACCTTAGGTATTCACCCTATCCATGCCCCTCATGATTTTATAAACTTCTACAAGGTCACTGCTCATGGTACTCGGAAGTTGGGTGTCGGTTTTGGGGTGCGTCTTCAAAGGAGGGAGAGATGTCGAGAGGCAGAGGGAAAGCAGGGAGCCAATTCCTGAGTGTAGATTGTAGACAAGTTTGTGTTAGCAGCTTTCTTTTCAGTAACAGAGTACAGATAACTTACACAAGCCCAGGAAAAGTTCCTCTCTGAACACTGAGCATCTCTGCAAGACCAAGTGCCAATTGTGAGAGTAACACCAATGTGCAATGATAGCCAAGATGTTCCCTTTTTGGGATGAGGGCATTGCTGGCTAGGCAGTATTTATTGCCCATCCCTAATTGCCCAGAGGGCAGTTTAGAGTCAACCACATTGCTGTGGGTCTGGAGTCACATGTAGGCCAGACCAGATAAGGATGGCAGTTTCCTTCCCTAAAAGCCATTAGTGAGCCAGATGGGTTTTTCCTGACAATCAACAATGGATTCATGGTCATCATTAGATTATTAATTCCAGATATTTATTGAATTCAAATTCCACCATCTGCCATAGTGGGATTCGACCTAGAATGTTATCTTAGTCTCCAGATTAACAGTCCAGCAATAATACCACTAGGCTATTGCCTTCCCTGAAGTTAGTGGCTACTCTGTTGGGTGCGTCCTGTAGCCAAATGGATGGAGCCCACTATTCTATAAGGGGGTAAGTGTCTGAATGGGGTAGAGAGTGAGGAGTGCCTTAAGCATCACCCACTACGATGATGTCAGAGAGAATGGCTCAGGATCTCGAAGAGGAAGTTATCATCTCCATGCTGTCTCTGTAACCAGGCAGCAGATATTACAGTGGCCAGAGTGTCTTTGGAGCAGCACAAACTGGAGGTGTGCATCCGGACTCTGAGGAATCCCGGGTGTGGCAGACACCCGTGTCTGGGAAACTGAAGAACTCCCCATTCATCTGGACGCACCTTCACTTCGGAGGGTCCCGCATTCATTAAGCTCATAGTTACCTGGAAACCATTAAGAAGAGTAGACTAAATGTTAGAATTAGAATCCCTACAGTGTGGAAACAGGCCCTTCGGCCCAACAAGTCCACACCGAACCTCAGAGCATCCCACCCAGATCCATCCCCCTACGACCCACCTAATATACACCCTCTACCTCCCTGAACACTACGGGCAATTTAGCATGGCCAATCCGCCTAACCTGCACATCTTTGGACGGTGGGAGGAAACCGGAGCACCCGGAGAAAACCCACGCAGACACAGGGAGAATGTGCAAACTCCACACAGACAGTCGCCCGAGGCTGGAATCGAACCCAGATCCCTGGCGCTGCGAGGCAGCAGTGCTAACCACTGTGCCACCGTGTCACCCATGTTGAGTCTAACTCCTGGGTAATTATTAAACTAACCTTCCAAACATCAAACTCAACAACACCTCCGGTACACCTTACAGTCCCGAATAACTACTATCCTACCACCTACTACTGGATCCCACCAAAGCAACATCATTCCACACCTCCTCCACACCCAGAGGGCTCTGACCCACCCCCCAAATCCCCAACATATACACATGCTCCACTCTGGTTCCCTTACCCACCTGGCACCCTGAAACCACCTGGCATTTTAAACTCGCTTGACCCCACCTGGCACTCTGAAAGACTTGGGACCCAGCCCACCTGGCACTCTGCCCGGTTGGCACCAAACCTATCTGGTGCCCAACCCACCTGGCACCCTAAACCCACCTGGCGCTCTAATCCTGCATTTCCCTTCCTCTCACAGCAGCTGTCACAGTCCCTGGCTGTGCTACCAGACTAATTAGGTCTCACATCATGGCAGGTGGTTGCAGCAAAAACAGGATGTAGTTTGACTAATCCACGCTCCCCACCAGCCTCCCAAAACTCTCCCATCCTATGGGGGAGCTGAGTTGATTTCAGCTCTGCTCCATATGTCCGAAGGAGCTGGGCCTGGAATTCCAGGCTAGAAATGTAGAGCTCAGCACTGACATTCCGACCATAACTCTCACTTCAGAAAATCGATGTTCATCGCAACAGTGTAACTGGTAGTTGCTATCATGCAATAAACTACATATTGTTGAAGACAAGAGACTTTCTTCAATTGCCTGCCTAGCATCTCTAGCAAACCACCTTGAGTCTACGCAGACATCTTCAGCCCTTCACAATCCACAACTGGCTTAACCCTGAGCCCCAGTTCCCATCTCACCCTTCAGATTGGTGTTCCTTACCGTTGGAACAGTGACAAACAACAGCCCTGAGAGTGTCCCTCTGCAGCGGCTCAACAAGGCAGCTCACCACCACCTTCTCAAGGGGCAATTAGGGATGGGCGATAAGTGCGAGGCTGAACACACATCCCATGAAAAAGAGTATTGAAACCTCACGGGAAAACGTCAACAAGGTTTTTAAAGGTGAAGTGCCAGTGAAGCAGGGGTGGCATGGGAAAAAAAAACACATTCTCTCACCCAGAAAGCAGTCAGGGCCTGGAATTCACTGCCTGGAAATGCGGAGGAGGCAGATTTGAGGCAGAGGCCATTTGGTGGCGAAGGTAATGAGGTCAGCCATGTGGACCTCACAGAATGTGAGCTCCCCCAGACTGGGGCGGTTAATCTGGTCCAATCAGGGAGCCCTGGCTGACAGAGTGTCGGGGTGGTGTTCACTCAGAGCTGGCTCCGAGGGAGCTGGCCGGATCAAGGGCTCTCCATGTGTAAATAAAGGGAGATGGGATACCGGTCTCTGTGGAGCTATTTACATTCAAGAGGAGATTGGGTGGTTATTTGGATAAGGGATGGCTAGCTCCGTTGGCTGGATGGCTGGTTTGTCATGCATTGATGCTAACAGCACGGGGCTCAATTCCTACAACCAGCTGAGGTTTGCCACGAATGACTCTCCTTCTCAACCATTCCCCTCGTCTGAGACATGGTGACCCTCGGTTCAAACCAGTTGTCTCTCTCCAATGAGAGAAAGGCCCGATGATCCAGTGGGACTATAGTGACTTGCAGGGATATGGGGAGAAGGCAGGAGTTAGATTATACACCTGGTACAGCTGCAGCGGGCCAAATGGCCTCCATCGACATCAGGACAATTCTGTGCAGACATCACCAAACCCCAGAAAGGCACTCACCCGATTGGCCAACTGCAAAGTTCTTCAATGAGGGTCTCTTCGCGACAAAATACGATTGGCCAACGACGAAGATTTTGTAGAGGACGGCATTGTGGTTGATAAAGCTTTGCAAGACACAGGGTGGGGTCACATCCCTCAGGCCATCCTCATTGAAGATGAGAGCCATCTGTGAAGAGAAGGAAAGGGCAAAAGTAAAAAAAAATAAAAGGGCCGACTCACATTTCTGAAGGGCCACACCTGACCTCCCAACATGCCACATTCAACATAGCCCTTTCTGTTTGGTCACTCACTAGCAACGCTTGCGCACAGTAAGATCCCACAAACAGCACAATCACAGTGACCAGGTGCCCTGCTTTGGTTTTCTCTCTCAAATTGCTCACTCAGGCTCAAGGTGTGAAGGAAACCTCTCGCACATTGTGGGCAGGGGATCCTTTAGATCCAGCCAGACGGGAAACATGGTCCAGGTTTAATATCCAATTTGCAGCACTCCCCTCAGGATTGGTGGCTCAGTGGTTAGCACTGCTGTCTCACAGTGCCAGGGACCCGGGTTCGATTCCACCCTCGGGCAATTGTCTGTGTGGAATTTGCACGTTCTCCCTGTGTCTGCGTGGGTTTTCTCCGGGTGCTCCGGTTTCCTCCCACAGTCCAAAGATGTGCAGGTTAGGCGGATTGGCCATGCTAAATTGCCCGTAGTGTTCAGGGAGGTAGAGGGTGTATATTAGGTGGGTCGTAGGGGGATGGATCTGGGTGGGATGCTCTGAGGTTCGGTGTGGACTTGTTGGGCCGAAGGGCCTGTTTCCACGCTGTAGGGATTCTAATTCTAACATTTAGTCTACTCTTCTTAATGGTTTCCAGGTAACTATGAGCTTAATGAATGTGGGACCCTCCGAAGTGAAGGTGCGCCCTTCAAGCCTGCTCCACCATTCAAGCATTTCAGAATGAGGTCGGGGTGGGGGGTTTCCCAATTGAAGATGGAGTTGAGTTTTCTTTTCTGAGGTTCCTGAGACAGGTTCAGTGAATAATGTCAAGGGCAGAGTTGGATAGATTGTCGACTAACAATGGGGTCAAAGGTTATCGGTAGGGGGAGGGGTCAGGCAGAAAAGGTGGAGTTGAGATCGCAATCAGTCCAGGTGTGACCTTGTCAAATGGCGGAGCAGGTTCAAGAGGCCGAATGGCCTCAAACTGTCCCTGATTCACAGGTGTATGTGACTGCAGCGTTTTGAGAAGGCAGCTCGACACCACCTCCTCAAGGGGCAGTTAGGGACAGGGCAACAAATAGTCAACGATGCCAACATCCCCATGCCTTTCCCTCCTTTGGCTACTGCTTTGTAAGTCCGGGAGCTTGAGTGCATTTAGCACTGGGCAACCTACCCCGGTGCCAAGTGGGTCAGGAGCCTGGCGGAGGGTAAGGCCCAGACAGGTTCAGTCATTATTTTCAGAGTGGCGCACATTTTCCCTTTCGGCTCTGAGCCTCGGAGAGAGGGCTGTCTCAAATTGGAGCGGCTCAGTGGTTAGCACTGCTGCCTCACGGGGCCAGGAATCCGGGTTCGATCCCACCCTCAGGCAACTGTCTGTGTGGAGTTTGCACATTCTCCCCGTGTCTGTGCGGGTTTCCTCCGGGTGCTCCGGTTTCTTCCGACAGTCCAAAGATGTGCAGATTGGGAAGTCATGTTGTGAACAGGGCAGTGGTGAAGCCTCTTATGGAATATTGTGTCCAGTTCCAGTCTCCCAGTTATAGGAAGGATATTATCAAGCTAGAGAAGGCTTAGAAAACCTTTACCAGGATGTTGCCGGGTACAGAGGGTTTGAGTTGTAAAGAAAGGCTGGATAGGCTGGGATAACAAGGCGTAGAGCTAGATGAACAAAGCAGGCCAGGCAGCATCAGAAGAGCAGGAAAGCTGATGTTTCGGGTCTGGACCATTCTTCAGAGAACATTTCTGAAGAAGGGTCCAGACCCGAAACGTCAGCCTTCCTGCTCCTCTGATGCTGCTTCGCCTGCTGTGTTCATCTAGCTCTACGCCTTGTTATCTCAGATTCTCCAGCATCGGCAGTTCCTACTATTTCTGGATAGGCTGGGACCTTTTTTCACTGGAGCATAGGAGGTTGAAAGGTGACCTTATAGAAGTTTAAAAAATAACGAGGGTTATCGATAGTGTTAATCCCCTAGGATGGGGGAATTTAAAGACTGGGGGCACATTTTTAAGGGGAGAGGAAGGAGATTTAAAAATGATATGAGGGGAAAATTTCTTTCACACAGAAGTTGGTTCATGTGTGGAATGAACTTCCAGAGGAAGTGGCAGACGCAGGTACAATTATAACATTTAAAAGGCATTTGGACAAGTACATGAATAGGACAGGTTCGGAGGGATATGGGCCAAATGCAGGCAGGTGGGACTAGTTTAGTTTGGGATTGTGCTCGGCATGGACTGGTTGGACCGAAGGGTCTGTTTCCATGCTGTATGACTCTAAGACCAAATGTAGGGATTCTATGAAATCCTTGGTATTCCATTTTAGAAAGGAAAGCAGGGGCCTGGGAGATGTTATAGAATGTTATCCTGCTGCATAGCAGGGAGGAGTGGGTCAGGAAAATGCGACCATTCTCCAAACCAGAGTAGGTTGAGTGTAGATTCAACAGAAACACTGAGAAATTGTCAGACATTGAGGCTATTTGACAAAAATGGCTGGGAGTTGGGGAGAGTGGGGGAGGGTGTGGCACAGATGAGGAGAAGCTGGTGTTAACTGGAACGCATTGCCTGAAATCAGATCCCAAAGGGATTTTCAAAAGGAAATCGGAGAAATATTTCAAATAAATGAGGAGGAAAAGAAAAGAGAAAAAGTAGCTGGTGTGGGACAAGAAAGAAAGCTCTTTCAAAGGGCTAGTACAGAGGCAATGGAGTGAATGGCCTTCATCAATGCTGTGTAACGGCTTGATTTGTCCCTGGATGTCCTCAGTCACCGGCGGAGGTAGATATTATTGGATTTAACGCTTAAATCACAAGCTTAACTATCGTTGATAAGGTGCCAAAAGCACTCAATGATGTGGGCATCATTGGCATTTGTTACCTATCCCTAATTGCCCCTTGAACTGCACATCTAACCAGGGCAGTTAAGTGTCAACTACATTGCTGTGGGCCTGGAGTCACGTGTAGGCCAGACCAGGTAAGGATGGCAGATTTCCCTCCCTAAAGGGCATCAATAAAGCAGAAGGGTTTATCCAAAAATCAATGACAGTTTCACGGCCACCATCACTGAGATTTATTAATTGAACTCTTGTGGTGGGATCTGAACCCATGGCCCCACAGCATTGGCCTGGGTTTCTAACCCAGTGACCACTGCCTGCTCCTTGACTAATTCCCCAAGAGCTCGGTGCATCAAATAAACACGATATTTAGTGTTACTCACATCGTGAGAGCTGGATCCCTGCGCAACTCTGGTTTTGCAAACTGTAAAAAGATATTCAAAACAAAAATTAAATCCAATTGGAATAAAACTGATCTTCCTGTCACGAGGACTCAGAATGTTGTGACCTCACACCGAGATGACGGAGATAGTGTTTTACAGCAGCAAAGACAGAAATTGCTGGAAAAGCTCAGCAGGTCTGGCAGCATCTGTGGACAGAAATGAGAGTTAACGTTTCGGGTCCGGTGACTCTTCCTCAGAACTGATGGTAGCCAGGAAAATATTGGTTTATATGCAGAAGATAGGGTGGGGGGAGGGGGTAAGGAGTAAACAATAGGTGGGGACAGAGCCCAAAGAGAGAACAGATGGATAGACAAAGGAAAGAATTATGATTAGGCTAGGAGAATAAACAGCTATTAATGGGAACTGTTAGTGGCTAACAATGGGTCGAGTGTAATAGAAGAATATGTAACAACAAGGTCTGGTGTGTGGGGGTTGGGGTAAGGACATGGGAGAGCTCAAACCCTAAAGTTATTGAACTTGATATTGAGTCCAGAAGGCTGCAGGGTCCCCAGGCGGAAGATGAGGTGCTGTTCTTCCAGCTTGCGCTGAGCTACGCTGGAGAACTGCAGCAAGCCTGAGACAGGGATGCTGGCCAGGGAACACGGTGGTGTGTTCAACCGAAAGCTCAGGGTCATTTCTAATGGGAAGAACATAGATGTTCTGCGAAGCTGTCACCCAGTCTACGTTTCATTTCCCCAATGTAGAGGAGGCCACATTGTGAGCAGTTGACTAGATTGTTTGAAGTGCAGGTAAAGTGCTGCTTCACCTGGAAGGTATGTTTGGGGCCCTTGGATACTGAGGAGGGAGGAAGTAAATGGACAAATGTTCCAGCCCCTTCCTACTCAATCCCCAACACATCCCAAAGCGGTCTGTAGCCAATGGAGTCGTTTCTTCTGAAGTACGCTCAGTGGCATCAATGTAGGAAACTCAGCTGCCAAACTGTGCACAGCAAGCTCCCATAAACTGCAAAGTGACAAATTTTTGAGGGAATATTGGTCGATGGGTCAATACTGGTGCCAGGACCATGGGAAATGTCCATGTTTGAGACACAAGTCAAACCAGAACAGCTCCAGACTTGATAGGGAGCCGGTGATCAGCGAGTGCTGGACCCCGAGTGTTACGGTCCCTCCCTCAGGCTTCAACTCTACTTTCCTGTCTATACCTCGTCGATGTCCATGTTGGTGAAGGAGCCGTCAAACTTTGCCTCAAGGATACTCAAAACTCCAGCCTCCAATGCTCTCAGGACAGGTTAATTCCATCAGTTTTATGACTCTCTTGAGACAAAATATAAATTTGACTCATCCCCACGGGGGGGGGGGGCGGGCCTGGCGCGGAGCTGGGGGGGGGGGGGGGGAGAGCAAGCCCGGCGCAGGGGGGGAGGGTGGGGGTGGGGGAGGTGAGAACGAGCCCAGAGCGAGGGGACAACGGGTCCTGAGGCGATGTTAGCGAGGTAGGCCCAGTGGTATGAGATGACACTCAATGATTGGTGACTCCATCCTTGGCTGGGTCCAGCTCTGGCGATGGCGAAGTGGTAACAGGAAAGCACTGGGCAACATCAACCGTAGTGATAGTCTCAGATGTTGGTGTGAACCGCCTCAGAACTCATACGTAGATGGGCTTCAATTTAAACTACATCTTTTTATTTTTCTCTAATTCTTAAAACTATCAAAATGGTGCCGGATTATGGCGACAAATGAAAGATATTCACCGTATTTTGTTGTACTTCACTGTAAAACACACATTGATTCATTCAAACGGGTGGTCAGTGACTGTGGGATTTGTGGTGATTGTAATGAGGTCAGCCTCATAGAATATGAGTTCCCTGAATGGGGCTGTTAACCTGGTCTGATCAGGGAGCCCTGGCTGACAAACATAAACAGGAGGCTCAGAGGTTTTGTTCACTCTGACAGCTGGCTCTCAGAAGAGCGGGGTGGGGGAAGCTGGGTCACTGTCAAGGACTCTCCAGGTGTAAATTAAGGTGACTTGGTAACGGGAGACCGGTCTCTGTGGAGTTATTTCAGAATGCTTTATGTCTACCCGAGAGGGCAGATAAAACTCTCAGGTGGGGAGATGGCGTCTCTGACAGTGCAGCACTCCCTCAGGACAATGAAGAATGTTCATCTCAGACAGAGAAAGATGGGGAAAGAGAGAGATGGAGAGAGAGAGAAAGAGAAAGAAAGAAAGAAAGAGAGAAAGAAATGAGAAAGAGACAGAGAAGAGAGAGAGAGAGTGAAAAAGCATAGGTCTTCCACCACATCCACAAGTATCCACTCCCTCCACCACCGACGCTCAGTCGCAGCAGTGTGTACCATCTGCAAGATGCGCTGCAGAAATTCACCAAAGATCCTCAGGCAGCACCTTCCAAACCCATGACCACTTCCATCTAGAAGGACAAGGGCAGCAGATACATGGGAATACCACCCGCTGTGAGATCCCCTTTGAGCCACGTACCGTCCTGACTTGGAAATATATCGCTGTTCCTTCACAGGCGCTGGGTCAAAAACCCAGAATTCCCTCCCTAAGGGCATTGTGGGTCAACCAACAGCACATGGACTGTGGAGGTTTAAGGAGGCAGCTCACCCCCACCTTCTCAAGGGGGCAACAAGGGACAGGGCAATAAATTGCTGGGCCCAGCCAGCGAGACCCATGTCCCACAGGAGACCAAAAAAAAACTAGGCCTCGGTTTACGAATAGAAAAAACAAAATCTACTTCAGTGGCCTTTAATGATTGGTTGACGCTGCTCCACAGCCCAGCCAAGAGGAGGATGTTGGGATACAGTCCATGGGTGGCCTTTGACCTCTGTCCTCTGACCCCGATTCACACGAGTGCCCCCCCACCCCCCCAACCACAATATAAGGGCAGCAATTGGGATAAAAAATCCTTGCATTGCCCCCACCCCAAACGCTCATCGTTGTCACTGAGTCTAATTGGAGCATTGCTGGCTTGAAATGAGAACAAGCTGGGAGTGTGGTTTACTCAGGAACACAATTTGCCAAGCAGGAGTTTATGAAGCCTCCTTCAGGTGCGCTTTTCCAGCGTTTTCCCTGTTCATTTCTTTCTACCTTTTCCATCAGCAATCTAGCCCGGAGAACGCAAGTTGCAATGTGTTATTCGTGAGCTCAGATAGGGGCTTGGAGTATGCCACACACCGATACAAACATCCCACTTACAAACTGCATTCTCCTGCTCGCACCACCATGTAAAAACTGAGAGTGCAACACATATGGAGACAGAGAGAAAGAGACAGAGACAGAGAAAGAGAGAGATTGAGATAGGGACACAGACAGAGATAGAGACACAGACAGAGATAGAGACACAGACAGAGATAGAGACACAGACAGAGATAGAGACACAGACAGAGATAGAGACACAGACAGAG